AAAGGAAGGAAGGGGAAGGGAAGGGGAAGGAAGAAAGGAAGGAAGGAAGGAAGGAAGGAAGGAAGGAAGGAAGGAAGGAAGGAAGGAAGGAAAGAAAGAAAGAAAGAAAGAAAGAAAGAAAGAAAGAAAGAAAGAAAGAAAATCCATCCACTCGTTTTACTCATCCAACACTGAACACAAACTCTCTGCCTAGCTTGCAGAGAGATCTGGTCCTTGCCCAAGGGCCTTCTATTTTAGGGACAGACTCAAATAAATAACAGTGTTTGTTTGTTTTACGGTCCTGGGGATCAGACCCAGAGCCTCACATATGCTAGGCAAGTCAAATATATGGCTTTGGAAAGTGGCACAAGGCAAATACACCCAAGAAGGTTGGAACCTAAAGGACAGACTTCAGTAAAATATGCTTGGCAGGAGTAAGAGCAGGCCTCCTGGGAATAGGGAGTCCTCTGAGAGGGAATGTACCTTACCTCAGGCCATGCAGCTAGGCAGTGACAAGCCTACTTAGAGTTTAAAAAGCTGAATACGAAGTCTCAAGTGTGTGAGCAGTTCAGAGGTGCTGTGCTGAGGTCCAGGTTGCTTTGAGCTACAGAATAATAGGGCTAAAAGACTGACCTTCAGGACTGTGACTGCAAAGTCAGCAGGCAGGCAAAAGTCCCTAGGCAGAGGGTCTAAAGGCTGGAAGGAAGGCTTGGGAGGCGCCTAGGATGCAGTCAGGAGCCCAACTTCAGTGCATTTTTGTCTCACAGCTGCCTGTGGTGGTGTGATCCGCAATGCCACCACTGGCCGCATTGTCTCTCCGGGCTACCCTGGCAACTACAGCAACAACCTCACGTGCCACTGGCTACTTGAGGCTCCTGAGAGCCAAAGGCTGCACCTGCACTTTGAGAAGGTCTCTCTGGCAGAGGATGATGACAGGTGAGGCTATCCTGATGGGATGGGAGTACCCAGTGTGGTAATACCCCGTGGCAGGGATGCTCCCCAAACCGGGGGCCACACCCTCCTGGGTCAGCAGCCAGCCACATAGCTACCATTCTCCTGGCCCAGGCTTATCATTCGCAATGGGGACAACGTGGAGTCCCCGCCTGTGTACGATTCCTACGAGGTGGAATACTTGCCTATTGAGGGCCTGCTCAGCTCTGGCAGACACTTCTTTGTGGAACTCAGTACAGACAGCAGCGGGGCAGCTGCTGGTGTGGCCCTGCGCTATGAGGGTGAGCCTCCTGGGGCCTGATGGGGAGCAGGGAGCTACGGTCTTTCTCCAACACCTTCCTCCTCTTGGCCTCCTTCCATCAGTCCTTCTAAGTCGACCTCTGTTCCCTATCCCTCCACCCAGGTCCAGGACTGCTACCCCATCTTTTCAGGAAAACCTTGTCTAGACCCAGGACCTCAGGTCCAAGAGAATGAATTATCCAAGTTTTCAAAGCAAAAAGAGGCCCCTTGAGAAGGAACTGTTTTAAGGGATACCCTAGATCCATGCATGTATGCATATATTCATTAAATCACTCCCCCAAAAATGAATTTATTGAGGCCCTTCATGCTAAGCATAAAACTAGGCAATGGGAATACAACAGTGATTAAAATGGCCTCCTGAGCATAATAGCGATGGATGTACTGGGCTGTTGTCCCCCACCCTCAGCCCCAAGCCTTTGACATATGTTTGTACTCAGGAAGAGAAAGGCCCTGGAGAGGGGGAAGTAGGAGATGCGGGCTCTCTGTATTTATCCCAGTCAAGGCTGAGCCAGGCTGGCCCTGTGGTTTGCAGCCTTCCAGCAGGGCCACTGCTATGAGCCCTTTGTCAAATATGGCAACTTCAGCAGCAGCGCACCCTCATATCCTGTGGGTACCACTGTGGAGTTCAGCTGCGACCCTGGATACACCCTGGAGCAAGGGTCTATCATCATTGAGTGTGTTGACCCTCATGACCCACAATGGAATGAGACAGAGCCAGCCTGCAGAGGTCAGTAGACACCAATGGAGAAGCTTATGGGGGCAGTAAGTGTGGTGGGCACCAACAAGTCAGCTGTAAAGCCTACGGTCATAGGGGTTCTGTGACATTGGTGACTCACCCTGAGAGGAGGGGGTTCCCTGCAATGGGTGGCAGCCCCAGGATGTGGCGCAGGAAGGAACACAGAGGAGACACGCGTTTCGGGCCTCTCCTGCCTTCCAGCGGTGTGCAGTGGGGAGATCACAGACTCAGCAGGCGTGGTGCTCTCACCCAACTGGCCAGAGCCCTATGGCCGAGGGCAGGACTGCATCTGGGGTGTGCATGTGGAAGAGGACAAGCGCATCATGCTGGACATCCGAGTGTGAGTGCCTACTGCGGTCAGGCCAAGCCAACTCTTGAGGTGCAGTCACATCTTGGGGGCTGGGAGGGCATCCTCGGGCCTGCCCTGCCCTGACTATGCTCCTCCACAGGCTGCGCATAGGTCCTGGTGATGTACTTACCTTCTATGATGGGGATGACCTGACAGCCCGGGTCCTGGGCCAGTACTCGGGGCCACGTAGCCACTTTAAGCTCTTTACCTCCATGGCTGATGTCACCATCCAGTTCCAGTCAGACCCCGGGACTTCAGTGCTGGGCTACCAGCAAGGATTTGTCATTCACTTCTTTGGTGAGCTTGTCCCTACCTCACTCAGTATACAGACCCCAATCTATGGCAAGTCAGAGAGGCCAGGGCAATGAGAAGCTGGAGTGCTGTTTCAGATAAGGAAAAGCTAGAAAGGCTCTAGGTATCACCAGAGAAAAGGAGCCTTCTGTTGCAGCATGAGATTTTGAGAAGCAGCAAACGGAGCTTCATAATGAAAATAAGAAATTAAGGGCCAGCCAGATAGCTCAGTGCACTAAAGTGCCTGTTTAGGCAGAGTGCAGTGGCCAGGGTTCAATCCCTGGCATGTGTGCCAGCCCCGCCCCCACCCCCCAGGGTACACTGAGACAGTGATTGAGACTGGGCGTGGTGGCACCCACCTGTAATCCCAACACTTGGGAGGCTGAAAACAGGAGTATCACTACAAGTCCAATCTACATAGCCCTGTAGACCCTGTACC